AGTTAATTCATGCTTAGTAATAATGCATACTACCTGGGGATCTATTTTATTTTTAGGATGGTATTACGAGATGAGGAACAGGGAAAGTGAATTTCAGGCATAGATAATACTTTTCATCGAATTTATTGTTCCTATTTGCTTATAGGTCCTTAATTTTTTTCATTAATGGTCCTTAAATGTACTTAATATCCGTGTGCAGAAATTTGTACGAACCCTGTAATAGGGTTGTACGATTGATAAAAATTTCAGCCACTCCTGCTTTTGTTTTGTGAAATTATAGGAATTAAAAATTGAGTAAGCTTGTAAGGTATTTCTCCTGCCTTCTTAGTGAGCCTTCGTGGTGTAGTGTTCTGCATGCTCAGCGCGTAATTGAGAGGTCCGCGGTTCGATTTCTGACGAAGGCATTGCTAATTTTTCATCTTTCATGCTTCCAAAAAGTACCTAATGTCTCTAAAGTAGCACCCAAATTAAAAGGGTGTTGGATGATAATTCTACTCACCCAAAATTTGTCAATTGGGTTTCCTAAAAAATCCCAGTTGCCTTTTAAAAGGGGGAGTATATAAGATATTTCTCCCGCCTTTGTGGTGTAGAGGTCTGTTAGCTCAGCGCATAATTGAGATGTCCACGATTCGATTCCTGGTGAATGCATTACTAATTTTTCATCTTTCCAGCTTCCAAAAAATACCTAATGTCTCTACAAGCTGTTCAATTAATTAATGGAATAATTTTTATTTTTGTATTCTTAATTATTCACATTTAAAAATGGCATTTTAGGGGCCCCATTCGAAATATAAAACTGACTGGAAACAGTGGACTGCATACTACATCATTACAGGTATATTAATATGTTGCCAAAATAATTATATGGCAACCCATCACATCGCCAAATTGTATTTATGTAACTACTCAGGTATCCACATAACAAATGTATGTTTGTTTTGGACGGTGTACAATGCCAGAGTTGCACAGATGCTGAATTCTCTAATGTTGTTTTAACCCTTAACATACCAAGCGGAACCTCAAGAGATTCCTCAAAGGACCCCAGAGAGTGATTTTTGAAGATTCTGCCGTAACTATACCTTTAGATTTATTTTTGGTTTTTATATGTGTCCCAGATCTGTTTATGATAAACATTACATAATTACATCTGTAATATGTTTGTTTAAAAAAAAACATTAAAAAAATCATGCCCACTTTGTATACTACATTACAGTATTTGTATTGATTTATTTCTTGTTGAAATCATTGGCATTTATTGCGTGGTATAAATTCCTGTTGGAGTTGGGCTGACCAAACCCAACATTCAGCTGAGGTAACTGTAACTGTATTTGTACCACCGCCTGTTCAACTAAGAACACTTGGGGACTGGCCAAACAGCCAGAAGTCACCCAATGATGACTTTTGACACGCTTGCTGAGCCCAGGGTCTCACATCCCCGAGTTATCCAACATTTTAATCAGCTCTCTCTGCTGAACGCTCAACATTTAGCCGACCCACAGCTAAACACGGACTTGTCAGAACCACCGTCCCGGCTGGTCCGCGACCACGATGGAGTGGGTGATGACAACTTGGAGCGATGACTGGCAGTTGATTGAGGCTACCTGCCAGCACTACACGGGATGCATCTCCTTAGGCTTTACATGGAATACCAAGGACAGCAGTGACCAGACTCTCAATGATCCAGTTTGCTATTTGGCTACAAATACCTTTGTGGAGGGGACTAACACCTCCTGGCGCATGAAGAGTAAGTATAAACTTACCCCATAGACCATCGGGAACCGCCAAGTTCATAAATTTTATACCCCCGTGGCCAAGACTGCCTAGGTACAGATCCTAGCCAGTACTTTGCAGAGTGCTCTACGTCGACCCCCGGGGTGGGGGGCAGCTGAGGTAAGCAATTCGAATGGCTTCCATCTTCCAGTTGTCAGATTTATAGAATCTGTGGGAAGTTTTTGTTGGACGCAGCACTGGAGCTCAGAGCACTCCATCAGCATCAAGACAACAGCAGATCCAGAAGAGGGGATGGTGCTTATACTGTTCTAGAAGCACAGACAGGAAAGTCCACACAGTTTGCTATAAATGCAAACATTTTGTGTGCGAAACACAGGAAGACCAGCACAGCCGTGACCTCTGCTAAAGGTTGTAGTGGGGGCAACAAACGAAACTGTACTTTTTTCTTTGTGAAATCAGTTAACTGGTTTTACGCAGGGTTCATAGGGTTCTTAAAATTACTTGCAAGTCCTTAGGTTTTCTAAAAATGGTTTTTGATCCTTTAAAGTTCTTAATTTCTGCCCAGATTGGAAAAAAGGTCCTTAAATGTACTTGTCTGACATTTCTATCTCTTTTTTATGACAGCCGTTTTGAGTATGAATTAATATTTTTTGATTCTTCAATAGATTATCATTTGAATTCTTTCATTCTTCTTAACAGGGCATGAGGGGCGCAAGGCCCTGCCTTAACTGAAATATAACATTTCAATTATTTCTTTTTTAAGAGTTCATAAAATATTACTTCAAAAATATCCTTTCCTGTTTTGAGATATTTCTTTTATTATATGATACTAAATTTAGTGATTTATCAACATTTTGGCAATAATGCAGATACCTGTGAATTTTTTTACTTTTTTTTATCAAGCATAATAAAATTGATATTACTACATTTAAATATAATTTAAAATGATAATATATTAAAATTATACTTGAGAAATAGCTTTAAAGTATTTTCATTTTATCATGTCATATTTTAATTCTAAAATATAAATAAAATAATAAGTGCTATGAAACATAGTTTCTGTAGCACTTATTATTTTATTATAAATCACTAAAGTGCTATGAAACATAGTTTCTGTAGCACTTCTTAGTAAAAGCTACTTTAGTTATTTCAAAGTTAATTTTTCTTCTTTTACGTTTTTTCATTAGAGTTTTTTTTTTTTTTTCTTTTCCACTTGTGTTTGTTCCAGAATATTTAAATGTATGTCAGTTTTCTTTTAAAAATTTACTTTACAGGTTTCTTTTCTAAAAATTTATTCAAAATATTCTTTCATTTTCCTTTTATAGAGTTGGCAGGGATAATTTTTAGACCTTGCACCTAGGAAGGTTTTGGAGGATTTGAAAGCAAGATTTATAGGCCTACAGTTACAAAAGATTCCAGAAAAGTGACCAAAATGAAAGTGTTTTGATAATATTAATACGTCGTAGAGTCATTAGATTTTTTTCCCCGCCTAAGCAGATACACATGAAAATGTGCAATACCATTGCTGGGACTCAAACAAAAGACCTCTCGAATACACATTGAGTATGCTTCCAATTACACCATGAAGGCATAGTAAAAGGAAGGAAAAAATACTTTTATATACTCCCCCTTTTAAAGGGTGACTGGGAATTAGGGACCCAATCACCATATCCAAATGGTGACAAATTATCGTCTACCATCTTTTAGTCCAGGTGCCGCTTGTCGAGTCATTAGATTTTTTTTTTTTAAAACAGAGGACATGAAAAATGGGCAGTGTCATTCATCACTGGACCTGTCAAATACATGTTGAGTATGCTTCCAATTACACTATGAAGGCAAGCTGAAAGGGGGAAGAAAATACCGTATAACATAATGAATGTGTCTTTGAGGAAATTTGTGATGAATTTATTTTCTGAAACATTTTTGGAAGAACAGTGAAAACAAAGTTATTTGAATTTTCTGTTTTGATCTGTCTTTCTCGTAACATGTTTATATTTCCTTTATTTTCTCATCTTTTCACCAGACACAAGCATGGCAAATTGCAAAAATGGTTTAAATCTTGTCACATGGGTAGGTATCTGTAGAGTGTAATTTTTCTGTCAATAAAGAAATTGAAGACTGCCAATTTAAAAGATTCATCTTGTATGTCTCACTGCACAGTACACTAGGCATTTTGCCATCTAATGCACTCTCTGTGGGTCTTATATTCTGTTGCCCAATGTCTATTCTAAATTCTAAAAGTTTTGCCATGCCTAAATTTTATTGCTATTTGTTCACTGACTTTCAAAAACTCTGCTACACAGGCTCTAGAACCTCTACTGACCTTTTATCAATTCAGATTTATTCTCAATACTCATTTTATTAAAGAAACAAAATTTCGATTTTCATTACATTCTAAATACATGTAATTCTTTAGAATAAGAGAAATCTTCAATTAAATCTGAAGTTCTAAAATGTAGAAGGAAATATACTGAGAAAGAAATTGCTTACATAAAGAAAAGGAAATTATTCTTCAAAGGTACGTTGTTAAAACATTAACAAATTAGAGGATGAAGCAGAGACTATTGGGAACGTTGATTTGTTTATGGAAACAAAAAAGATATTAAAGGAAACTGATGTAAAATATTTTGAAAATTTTCAAATTGAAAAGATGCATAAGTATTTTGTTGCTACAAAATATACATGTTTTGCAGATTTTTTTTTGTTTAATTATCCCAGTATTGTTTTAGAATCAATACCGTAAATTATATATGTAATTATTTTTATTTCAAACTGTAAAATGTTCATAGATTATGCTTTGAATCATGTTTTTAACAAATATTTTTTAGAAATTAAAAAAAAGAAATAATGTTACCATGTAAATCTATGATGAATCAGGGTATCTAACTGCATATATAAATATTTGTAACCAATTAGTCACACTTAGCATTTATCTCTGCATGTTAAGGTAAGTTATAAATTAACATAGAAGTTTATTTCTTATAGCTAATGATACTTAATATGAAACAACTTACCACTGCTTGTGCTTCGGCAGGTTTTTGGAACTTTATATTAAATACTATATATTAACTGGATTATAACTTCAGCAACGCAGAAGAAAAAAAAGACATCTTTATCTCCAGCACGACACTGTATCGGAAATTCTAAAGATATGTGCATTTTAAATTATTTTGCAATATTGCTTTTGAATTAAATTTAATGGTTTAATTGAGAACATGATATTTAATAAATAAAGATAATACACAAAAAGTTAAAAAAAAAGGGGGGGAAAGAAAGAAACATCTGAAAGCCTTCAGATTTTTTTTCCCTAATTTTTAATTATTTTGCAAATGGATCACAGAGAGCTGACCATTTCTGAAGCACTGAAAATGCTAAGGAATTGCATTCATATAGTGAAGCCCCACAGCTCCCGGTACATGTGCAAAATATGCAGTGTTGGGTTGCGCTTCTTCAAAGGTGGTGTCACTTGCTTCGAAAAGTATCATGGGGGGGAAGGAGGAAATTGTAAATATGAAGTGTAAATATCATATAAGCCAAGTTACCTTTTTCTTTATTTACATACATGCATTCATATATAATGAAGTGCTTTTTGGAGAGGGGGAGAAGTAGAGTAGCAGGCCTTCCCATGCTGCTCCCTGGCTAATGCTGAATCTGATACGGTAATCAGAGTCTAGTTTTTCTTTTAATTGTTGGCAAAATGTTTTACTCAATTATGTGCTTCCCAGCAGTGTTCGCTTCAGCACTCTTTTCAAAGCTTCATTTATTCAGTGACACCACTTTGGGCACACCCACAAAATTAAACTGTTAAATGGTATCTTTACAAAATTTCACCTGTGTACTCCTCTAGGCCTGATTAGACACTGGCCACTTTTTGGGGGGAGGGTGTTGAAATTCCAACTTTAAAAGGTAGTGTGCCAGGAAGGTTATGTATAACTGTATTAAAAATTTGTCTTGTCTGTATAAAATTTAAACTGTAAATAAAAAATGATTTTGATATATTTTAGGTGATATATCTGGGATTATTCAAAATTGTACATTATTAGTGAACTGAAAATTTGTATTGTTGAAATGTTGCTCTTGGTAATGTTATTGTCATAGGAAATCAGTATAAGAGATTATTTTGTCATAAATGTTTTGATAATTTTTAGCATGGAAGGAGGTGAGCTCTTTCAACGAATACAAGACAGAGCAGAAGGTGCATTTACAGAAAGGGGTTAGTGATGTATATTATTTTACCATTTTATAATTGTTTTCATCTTTGTTAATTCTAACCAAATGTATTGGAATTATAAATGTAAATTTAAATATACTGTATTAAACATGCATTTAATACAGTAATCATATAATACTGAAAAAAATGTTTTCAAAGTTTTGCTTGCTTCTGAAAGCTGACATTCGCAGAAAAATACCAAAATTTTTTTTTTTTTTTTAAAAAAGCAGTAATAATGATAATAATAAATATGGTGAGATATTCTGTATTTTCTGGGCAAAACAATAAATAATTGAGGACAATAAAATGTTGCTCACAAAAGTGAGGTAATCTTTCTATGCCAGTTTTTATGTAGCTCTTCTAGCTTGGCTTAATGAGGCATATACAGTGGATGGACAAAAATATGGAAACACCTTGTGAAATGCATGTTTGAAAAGAAAGATTGATTTTAATGAAATATGTAGGTGGCGCTGACATTTTTGACTACTGACGCCACCTATACAACTTCGTAAATGTGCTAAACAGTTCAGTTGTTGTCGGAGTACAGTTATGTGAGGTTGTCATTGCATTATGTCAGAGTTAACAGACTTCGAACGTGGGCAAATTGTTGGAGCACGTATGGTAGGTGCTTCCGTAAGCAAGGTAGCCGAGGTGTTTAGTGTTTCAAGAGGTACTGTATTGAAGATTTATTCCGCATATTTGAAAAGCGGAAAAACATCATCTGCTAAATCACAGCGCGGACGAAAGTGTGTCCTGAGTGATCATGACAGACGATCGTTAAGGGCAATTGTGGCGAAAAATAAGAAGACCACAGCTGCAAAAGTTACTGCTGAAATGAATGTTGTGTTACCGAACCCTGTGAGTACCAAAACAAATTGAAGGGAGCTTCATAAACAGGGAATTGCTGGCCGTGCTGCCACTCATCAGTGATGCTAATGCCCGTAACAGGAAAAGGTGGTGTTTAAGTCATAAAGCCTGGACTATAGAGCAGTGGAAGCGAGTAATATGGTCTGACGAGTCTTCTTTCACATTGTTTGCCACTTCTGGCCGAGTTTACGTCTGGAGAACGCCATCTCAAGCCTATAATACAGACTGCTTGTTGCCGAGAGTGAAACATGGCGGGGGTTCTGTTATGGTTTGGACAGCCATATCGTGGTTCTCTGCTAGCCCCATGATAACTGTGTCAGGGCACATGACTGGCAAAACTTATGTGAACATTTTGGCCGATCAAGTTCATCCCATGGTACAAACTTTGTTCCCCCGATGGTGATGGTGTCTTCCAAGACGACAAAGCCCCTGTTCACACAGCTCACATTGTCCAGGACTGGTTTTCTGAGCACGAGGATGAGTTGTCCCATTTCCCCTGGCCACCACAGTTACCAGACCTGAATATTATCGAACCTGTGTCTACATTGGAACGGAAAGTGCGTTCTCGTTATCCACCGCCAACATCGTTATCTGAACTTGCCACCATTTTGCAGGAAGAATGGTATAATACTCCCTTGGCAAACATACAGGAACTGTATTTATCCATTCCGAGAAGACTGCAAGCTGTTTTGAATGCCAACGGGTTTCCTACACCATATTAAGCAAAGAAACATGTTTTTTTAAAGGTGTTTCCATATTTTTGTCCAACCCCTGTACGATCAGCTTGTTTGTGTGTATGTTTTTTTATTTGAAAGAAATCAGCATAGCTTTTTAATCCGTACGGTATCATTATTCAGTATATCAAAGAGACCAGTTTCACTAATTTTTCTCCTTTAAACAGCATTTTTATATATTTTCACACACTTTCATAAATATATTTCTTTCTTCTTTAACAAAAGTATCATTACATTGTTTTCTGTCAGTAGTAAAGTGTATGATTAGGTATGTGTTTGTTTGTAACTTATTGTGTCTTGCATTTTGATAGATATCTGATCTGTATTTCTCCCCTCCCCATGTCTGAATATTTTGCTAAGTTAGCATTCTATAGTGTAGTTAAGAGCATTCATCGCAAATGGCTAACTTATTAGTCATTTAGCCACCTCATTAGGATTCACCATAGGGGACAATCATATTACAACTGGGAGAAAAAGAAAACTTCTCGGGATAACACCCAAGGAAAAGAACATTGTGAATTGAATTTTCTTCCTTAATTTGGATGAGCTTTATTAAGTTTTCCAGAATTAATACAATTAGTGAAATTAATACAAGTTTAATAATGTAGTCTACTGAAACAGTTGATTAAAAAATTGTTTCTTTTTAAAATTATTCATTTTTTGTATAATATAATTTATTAATAAGATACATTTTTTATTGTTATCTAGCATTGTGTGCATCATTTCACCAAATTTACTCTGAGATTATCCTGGCTGAATTCTCTAGTGCCAAAAAAATCTTTCCCAGCAGAGCTGTAGATCTTGCAATTATATCTACAGCATAGGCCAGAATATGAACTGATTTATTTAAAATATAGTGCCTCTTGAATTAATACCAGCACCTCTTATAACTTTCTCTAGAGCTAAATTAAAGAAGAGTCATGCCAATGCATCCCCTGCCTGACTCCACTGCAGAGGAGCTGAATGTTTTTCCTTGAACTCATACCACAGACATGGTTTCGGTTAGAGAAAGCCTCACAAGCTTAACTTTGTTGAAACTTTGAACTCGGATAGAGCTTTTAGTAACTGAGCTCTATCAATGCCTTGAACAATCATTGGGCAGACATTTATTTTTATTTATGTTGTTTCTCATATATATTTCAATTCTCTTGCAGACTAGCTACATTAGGGTGACTTAGCTCTTGAAGACTAGCTAGTGTAACTTTGACTAGGGTGACTTAGCTACATTTTCATCAGTATTAGAAGCGGTTTTGTTTAACGACCTGCCTTTGTGTTTACGAAATATAGGTCAACATCTGTAACTAAATCTGTAGGCTTTGTTTACGATATGTAGATCAATATTTTTAGCTAAATCCTTAGGATTCAGCCATCTCTCTCCTGTTTTGATACTGATTAAGTTGCAGTTTATGTAACGCTTGGACATTTTTGACATTTGTTATTGACAGTAATATTGGAAATTTCCTGATAGTCTGTTAACAAACAGATGACTGATTTCAATTCCATATTGTTTACGTTTCTCCAATATTTGTCTCAAAGTAAAGATTTGATCAACTGTGCATTTACCTTTCCTGAAACCAAAATTAATGTAATATAATATACTGCACAATTAATTAAGCAAAGAGTGGCTAAAATAAAATATTTTTATTTTTCCATCTAATGTAAAGTATTAGTTATATATAATCTTAAAATGGTTTAAAGATTTTAAAAATTGCTTAAAATTGAAGTAAAACAAAATCATGATTATAATGGTAAAGTGCAGGTTTTGTGGCATTTATATTTAAATTTTAATAATGAAATATTGTTTAATTTAATTCTTTCCTTTCTGCTTCTTTCACTACAAGGCACGCTCATTCCAGAATTTATATAGGTTTGAGTGGCAGGCAGTTTTACTATGAAGCTTAGAGATTTATGAATAAGAGCGAGAGTTTAGCCTGCAGTCCTCTGTCTTGCACTGAAGAGAAAATTTGTTGGCAACACGAATGCTGGTCATTTTGTTGGTATCATAGATTGAGAGTAGCTGTTTTGATAAGTATGTGTTTGAATGTCTGTAGCAATGTAGGTAAAGCATGTAGTCTGTGTTTAGGTTAGATTAAAAATTGTTGAATTTTTAACCATTGTGAAAAGAAGCTTTGAGTTTTAAACCAGGTTGGCTGGTAAATTTGTGTTTGTATATTTTAATCTATTAATGCAGTCAATCAAGTGAACTTCACACTGAACTACATTATTTCCATGCACCTGAGTAAATACGTTCAAGAATTTTTTTCATATGTGGATACAAGAGAATATATCCTCTACAGTCTTGAGTTAAAACTAAAGAAAGATGTTGAATTAAAATGAAGACTGAATAAAGTGGCAAAATTAAGAACACTTTCTCAATTTTTAGTAGTACACAAAGGGGTAATTTAATCACTAAGCGATGAGGCTAATTCTGTGTCTGTGGGTGTGATAACTATATTCTGGTGCATCTCACAGAATATAAGTAATAACCTTATTATTACTGTATTAACCTAGGTAAGTTGTTTGGAACAGCAAATGTTATAGTGTAGAGAGGCAGGTGGATGAAGTCCGCTTTAATACATTTGTAAAATGAAATTCTGAGTGTTTTCAAGTTGTTTTTCATTATTTGTGTAATATCAAGGATTTCAACTGATAATGCTGTTTAAATATTAATTTAAGATACAGTGTTTTCTCAAATGTAGTGAATAAAACTTTTCTGATAGTTACTCTTTCATCTCACAGTGCATGAAATTTTACAGATGAGCTTCCTTTATCTTTCGCAGCATGCAATTATCTTTATGCAAGCAAAATTTATCTTTTGCATCATCCTTCCATTGCAAGACATTTGTTTCCAAATCAAAATGTGTTTAAATCAGTAAAAGACTGAAATGATTGAAACTATTTGAGATATATCAATGTCGATGTATATGTACAAAAACTTCAAAATTGAACTGTAAAATCTTGGTGGAACAAGATCAGTTAAATTTTAATTGCAGTCTGAAAGTCATCTTGAGAGGTTGGTAGTGGTAGAGTAATTGGTAGTTGGTAGTAATATGAAACAATCAGATTCCATTTCTTGTAGGGGAAGAGCTTTTGATCAAGCATTAGAGATTCTTTGAATAACCTTTGTATGTTCTGCCATATTTAAATGTTGTCATATTAATTTGTTTTTTCTGATTCATTTTCACGATTTGAAATATATTATCCTAAATTGTATATAAAAATGTATTTGTATATATATATTTGTATATATTTAACAAATATTCTATATTCATAGAAAAAATATTAAATTAAATTTTAACTAAGAAATTTTAATTGCAAAATAAAATAAAATAAAATAAAAATAGAAATTATTATTATTGCTGCGAATGTATAAAAATATATATGTAATATTTATATAAAAATACATATTTTTCTACAAATACTTTTTTTCATAAATAATGTATAGATAAAATATAGTAGTTTTAGGATTTGTTTCAAGTATACAAAAATTAATATTACATTTTAATGAGATGGCTATGCTTGTATTTTGCTTGATATAAGCATCCTCATTTTTTCTCAGCATTGAACGGTATGTGGATTCAATAAGCATTAACCGTTTGAGTTCCAAGCAGCTCGATCGTGCTGTTGAGGTTTTATGCTGAGAAAACCCAGTACATTTCGAACATTGTGGATGGCACACTTGATGTTGATAAGTGCACATCAATGTAAAATAAACAAAGCCCTGCCACGCTGCTTGGTATTTCTCGACATAAAATAAAACAAGCCCTATTACGCTGCTTGGGTCTTTTCATACTCATATAGAGAAAGCGTGGTTGTGCTATTTGGGATTCTTTGACATTGTTTTTTGGATACACCCTGGGATCCAAACGGCTAAAGCTAAAAAATTCGTTCACGTATGCATGGAATGCTGAATGGCAGAACATTTAATGCCATTTGAGAAATTGTTGGAAATTCAATTCTAGCTCAGTCAAGGATTTTCATGGACACTGAGGTTTTTGAGTCAATTGATAGTTCAACTAATTCCTCTTAGGCTTTACATGACATGTGATCATTCTTATTAATGCCAATCAAAAGTGGTTTTTGGAGACAGCTTTTTGGAATCAAAATTCGATATAAAGTGACTGTTACAAAATTGTGTTTCTAATTCAACTGTAATAATTTTTGTAGTTAAAGCTTAGAATTATTTTGTTCAGTTATAAAATTGTTGGTAGCTGAAAAAATTTCTAATGAATGATTATTTACTCTATTCATTCAATACTGATCTTCTGATGATGAATTAATAAAACCTTCATTTCTATCATATCCTTTCGAAGAAAATACATTGCAAGAGACGTGTTGAGATCATTTAGTTTGTCAGAAAAAGCTGACAAATAGTACAGCTTTTGATTCCGTAGAGGTATTTTGGAAAAGAACACAGGATCAGATTTTTTTGCAGTTAAAAACAATAATTTTGTCTTTTAATAACATTAATCTTTGCCCTCTAGACATCTGTCTTACTTAGCTATTTGCATTCGGATGCCATGTCTACATAGATTTGAAAATTAAAGCCGTTAAATTTGCCTCAATTTGGCCAGTATTACAATTTTATAAGTGGGCTATATATCTATTGTACTTGTTCATTAGCTGAATATAGAATGATATATATCATGATGCTTAGAAGCGGTATGATAATCGTCAATTATAATACCTTTTGATAAAACTTAAGTAAGAACTATTCCATATTTATTAAGGGATTTCTAGATTCATGACATTGCATTTGTAATTGAATTTCAAGCTTTCTAATGTAGCTGTTTCTCTTTTGTACATATTTTCAGAAATTTGAAAATTGTATGAAACTTTATAATATTTCATGAAAAAAGTACTTTTAATCTTTCAGTAGATACTGATTATCTATTGCTATATAAGAAATATGTTAGTTTTTATGTTTTAAACGAACTTTTTTTCTATTGGCGATCAAGTCCAAAATTTTAATGTAGTTATTTATTATTGACTTTAACATATAATTATTTCCCAACTATGATGAGATTGGCATAAACGAGCTGTTTTCAGATTCTGTGTGTTTTTTCTAGGGTTATAAAATTAACAATATTTGTTCTGTTGTGCTAATATTGGTAGATGCAATAATGTGCATCGTGCTATTGAAGAAGTATTTAAAAAAATGTATTGATGCATGTAAAATCACAATTTATACATGTCTATTTGTAAGTTTCATTAGTTGTATATTTATTACTTATATATATCAAAATGTTATTTTCTGTTGGCATTTGCTTACATTTTTAAAGAATTTTATCCAAAAATGACTTTATGATGTCAGTATGTTGTAATTTAATATGTAATCTCAAAGGCTGAATAGAAATGAAATAAATTTAATTTTGGAAAAATATGGTAAGAATGCAGGTATTTTCAAAAATAATCTAAATGCTGTAATGTGCCTGATATTGCAGTTATGTCGATACAAGTGATACACACATTTTTTTTTTTTTCTAATTTTTTTTCTTTCATATGACAACTAAAGAACTAGTTACAGATTAAGTATATCGCACATGAGCATACTGAAATGCAATGTAGCAAATGAAAACAAGTGCCTCAAAGTAATTAAAACTTTATACATCTAGCTATTTGATTTAGCTATCAAATTCATTTATGACAGCAGACTGCTTTGCATAAGTACAGGTAAATAACTAATAATAGTCATTATTGTAAGTAAACTATAAGCAGATGTGATTGATAAATTAATTTCAAAACACAGACTGCAGATTCAATAAAACATCGAGGAAGTATTTTTTCAGTGAAGCCTTTCAGCGAAGCCAGGTATTCAGAGGTACACCAGATCTTTTAATAAATTTGGCAATCAAACATATAATGTTAAATGTTTCTGATTACTTTTGAGGATTCAGCAAAGAATTTTGATGGTTATTTAGTCATTTTGTTTTTTAAACTTAGTTTAACCTCTCAGGTTAGAAGACCCTTTCATCTGAGATGTGTCAAATAAATTTTGTGAAAAGAAAAGTATTTTTGATTTATTAAGTATTTATTTAACTTTAAATCATTCCTTTTCCTTTTTTCAGAAGCTGCAGAAATTATGAGAGAAATTTGCATTGCTGTTGCTCATCTACATCGTATGAACATTGCTCACAGAGATCTGAAGGTAATTAAGAAATTCTATAATTTCAGTCTGATAAAATCCTGAAATAATAATTATTTTCAGATAATGTACATAAAAGTGTGTGTAAATTAAATTTTTGTCTAGGCATATAAAAAATCTTTAAATCTTTGGTAGTTAAGCATATAAAAAATTAAATGATTATTAATTTTACATGAATAATGAAATTAAACTAAACAAATCAAGTACATAATATATAATGTTAAAAAATATTTTATTGAATATAGTAGTACTGCAATTATTCATAAAATTATTTTTATATCTATTATAAATTACATCAATTAGATACAAATTATTAAAAGTATGTTTACTGTTTTTTAATTGTGTAATGTATTAAGCAGTTAGAATGTGAAAGATGAAGATTGTATAAATTTCACATGGCAGTACTCTTAGTATGAGCTATTTTTCAGGCCATACAAAAGATGAGTTAAAGTGGCATTATGTGCAATGCCATCACTTATTAAATAGTGTAGATCAGGGCTTCTTAAACTTCTTTCAGTTGCAACCCTTTTTTATCATTGAGATTTTTTTCGCGACCCCAGGACCATATAGTATGTACGAAAATTTTGCAAGACTCCATAAGCATTGCGCAAATCTGACGCACGCATGAGTGAAACTGTCAATAACTTTAATTTCTAATTTTAAGACATAGAACAATATTAAAATTTTAAACAAGTAACAGACAAAATGACAGCTTCACATGCAAAGAAAGTAAATGCAAAGTTCACAATGCAAAGTTTATTTTATAAAAAGAATGTGTCAAAATGTTTTCGTTTGTTCTTTGTCTGTACTGTCTTATTTTTATCTATTTTCAGATACATTTTGTAAAAATATTGATAATTGTAAAAATAGTTAAAGAAATATCAAAATTGCTAAAATTTTGGCGACTCCTGCTTGCAGGTCCCACTACCCCATGGGTGTCACAACCACAAACAAGAAACTCTGGTGTAGATTATAATTACATGGTAATGTAACATAACCATAGTAGCACAGAATTTTAGAGAAATTCCAGTAGTTGTTTGAAATGAAACAAAATAAAATTATACCTTAATTAAACAATTTCATAAAACGAGATTAGAATAACAGCTATAGTTCATAAATCATTTAAAAAACAGTGAGAAAGAAAATCAATTTGTGCTTTTCGAATTGTTTTCCTTGTTTTATTTTGAAATAATAGTATTTCTGAGAAAAACACAATTTCCAGTAAATTTCTTATTTTTAAAAGTGTTGTGCTATATATGAAATGTTTGTTCAGTTTCATGTGTTTATCTTTAAGAAATGCTGTATATCTAAAAGATTTTATAAGCAAGCTTTTATGAAAGCAGGTTTATATATTTCCCTAATCAGATTGTAATACAGGTACATGAAATACTGAAAAGAATAGAGAGTAAATTTTATTACTCAGATATATTAAAAATTTTTGGTGTTAAATTTTATATTAAAATTAATTGTAACTTTTGTCAATATAAAAAGGATTTTTGTTTAAAAATGTTGCAAAATATTGTTTAATGTGGTATAAATTTAGTAGAAAATATTTCCATATATATGCCAAACTAAATGTTTTCCATCTGTGTTTAAAAATATATATATATATGTATGTATGTGTGTATGTATGTATCAATATGAATTTTAATGTTTGCTTTTATTGTAATTTCCATCTTTCTTCTTTTTTAAAATATAATCTTGAGAAACCTCAGTTTCCGTTTTCTGGTAGCTGTTTGATCAAAAGCAGCTGTCACAGTGTTTTTTCTGTTTTGTTAGGAATGTTAAGATTTAGAATAGAAATTTTAATACCTGTCTGTTATGAGCAGGTTGAAATATTATACTTCTTTCTGAAGAGTGTGGAAACTTCATTTTATTCTAGCTTTTAAGCTAAACTATAATTATCACACAGAAAGTATTTTTATTCTTTATTTCAATCTCTGCTGTTATAAACAGGTTTATTTTTGTTAGCTTTAATTTTGATATAATGGTAATTAATTTCAAAATATGAGAGAATCATATTACAAAATATTTCGTGTCTTACATTTGGTTGGATTGTAAATGGTTTAAAAATCTGACCTTCAACATCACTTATTACTTGGCTTTTATTTCGTATTGATATTGCTGTTAAAAATTCATTACTATTTTAATTCATTATTATTTTATGTTTCTTAATTTATGAGAAAGCTTCATCTAAATTTTGTGAGTGTAACTGAAAAGTTTGTAAATGGTTAATAATTGTACATATTTAGAAAATAATGAACAATATTTATCGTGTTATGCTAAGGATAAGGTTTGTGTTATTGGAAGCTGGAAAAGTTTGTGACTCTTTTTCTTTCCGTATTCCCCCTCCAAAGTTTAAGGAAAAATTTGACTTTGGCAGTGAAATAAATTTAAGACATGTGTTTGTTTTGGATTAGAGGATTATTCTTTCTGTCCAGCAACTCACAAGTGCTAATTCGAAATTATAAAATCTTCATTTATCTGATATATCTTTTAATATACTGTGTTGAATAAATAATATATTTTCTGTAGACAAAACATATTTATATTTTCTAGAATATATCAATCTCTGAACTTGAGGGAAGTCATAACCATCTTTTATCTTTCCTTTTTCTAGTTTTCAGATTCTGTTTTTTAAAAAAAAGTTAGTAAAACAACAGGCAGCATTTTATAGTTGAATTGTTACTTGTTTTTCAAACATCAAACATAATCTTTAATAATAGTAATGCAGAGTCACATTTTTTTTGCAAGCAATTATATAAGCATATCTGAAGAAAGTATGTAATTTATGTTGTTAGGTGTAATTTTTGTATAATTCCCTGTTGCTAAAAAATAAAATGGGAAATGCCATTATGAGGGCTCCGGGGAAAGAATGCAAAAATCAGTATGATCTAATGCATTTATGCTATCACTCTTGAATGTAATATAGAAAAGCCATATTCTTAAAGGCTGCTATTGTGAGATTTCTCTTCATTGCTTGTTTCTTTACACTTTGTCCATCTATGCACTTTGCTGTTGTCAATGGCATTGTTTCCATAAACATCCTGTAGCTTTTAATGGATGTCCCATAGACTGCATTCTTCTTTGTGAGAAACTCAAGAGTGACATATTGTTTGTACTTTGTATCCATGATTTACTCACAGAGAAAAAATGATTCTTATACATTAGTATGTAGAAAAAGAATAATTGCATCTACTTGTAGAATTCTGCTGATCTACTTCAGTTAATAAAAATATTAGATTGGCCATTACATTACTTTCAGAATGACCCCTTGTAGTGTTGTTTGAGCTTCTAAAATAAAATATCAACCAGGAAAGCTTATTTATAAATACTGTACATTACATTTGGAAATCCTAAACATTTTATACATTATATTCAGAAATTCTAAAGAAAAGTAGTCAGTGGTAGTCCAGGATGAGTTTTAAACTTACAGTTGTATAGATTGTTTTTGAAAGAACATAAAAAACAGTTGACAAATGGTATAGTAAGTGCTGATCTTATTATGGGAATTTGATTATCATGTATTTTTAAAACCATTTATTAAACAGTCATTTTGCTTATTTAAAAAAAGTATACATATTTTTATTTTTTACATTTTTAGCCAGAAAATTTGTTGTATTCAAAACCAGATCCTACTGGAATATTAAAATTAACAGATTTTGGTTTTGCTAAAGAAACTACCAATTTTAATTCCCTCCAGACACCTTGTTACACTCCCTATTATGTCGGTAAGGATATATTCTTTATGTAGATTTGTGTATGTTTCTTATATGAAGCAATCTTAGAAAATTATTTGTGTATTCTTGTAAAAAAAAAATATTTTTAATGAAATAGCTCCAGAAGTCTTGGGACCTGAAAAATATGATAAATCGTGTGACATGTGGTCTTTAGGCGTAATAATGTATATACTGTAAGTTGTTTAAAATATTTTAACTAAATATTAGTTTCTGTAGTTAACATTATAAATCTATCAATTAAGATGTAACAAATATGGTTTTATTTTTATTTCATTTCAGTGTTTGTGGCTTTCCACCATTTTATAGTAATCATGGACTTGCAATATCTCCGGGTATGAAGAAAAGGATACGAGCAGGCCAGTATGATTTTCCCAATCCAGAATGGGAAAATGTTTCTAGTGATGGTAATTTAATATTTGTTTAGTGTAAAGAAAAGTATTTTTAATATCTACATTTCTAGCATAAAGAAGGCAAATATTTTAAAAATGAAGTTAAGATTAATGGTTTGCTTTTTATAAATGTTACTAATAAGGAATGTGCATGACATAGGATTCACCAATTTCTTCTCAACTCTGCATAATGATAGAAAACCTTAAGTTGAATGTAAATGTGAAGTGTGAATATTCTCTTCTTAAACATAAGCCAGACATTTGAAACTATAACAATTTAAGTAACATTCTTATTATTTAATTTTATGGCTGCAAATTCTTTGATACCTTTATATTAAACTCCTAGCAATGAATATTAAATATTACTACAAATCCCACATCTGAAAGTGATAATTTTATTGATATTGGTTAGTATTTTTATTTTGAAAGTAAGTGTATATATAGAAATATTTTTAAGGAATAAAGCAAAAGATAACATAGTACAAAAATTTCATTAAACAGGTCTGCCGCGTTACCTGGAAAAAGTCAGGGAATTCGAAAACTGACCAAAACTTCAGTGAAAAGCCAGGGAATTTAAATATTTTAGTCATAATCTGAAAAAGTCAGGGAATTTCATATGGCGATTTCCCCCCCCCCTCCCGCCTCCCAAGCGAGTTTTGCACCAATGTTAGAAGCGATCACTTTCTTGGCGAATTATGTATTGTGTGAGTGTCATTCAGGCAGCTGGCATAAAGTCAATTTTCACAGCACCAGTTAGATTTAGAAAGCAAGTTTTCAATAACCTCAAGAATTGAGAAGACTCGCATACACACGTGCAGTGCATGGTGAACTAACAAAAATACGTATTCTCATATAAAAAGAAATTGGTTTAATCCTAGTATACGGTACTATGGAGGTTAGAATAGCTACCATGTATTCTATTCTAACCTCCATGTATGATACACACAGGATTTGGCAACATTATGAGGAGCAGTAAATGGGTCATTTTGGCGTTGGTGACAATTTTCAAAATCGTGCCAAGGCTTTAATGTAGACTAGGATTTTACTGCAAAATCTTTTAAACCTTTTTTTTTTCTTTTTAATAAATGCCATATTTGTCATTTTGCAGTAAAATAAAAAATGGTAATCAGTCATCTAGGTTAACCATTTAATATAACTATATTCGCTAAAATATCATTGATTATTCTAATTCAGTTTTTAAGTAATTATTTTTATTTTTATGTTATTCATATCATTTAGTGTTGCTTCTTCCCTCTAAATTTATTTATTATTAGTAAATAATACTTTCAAATTTCAGGAAATTTTCTCTGGCATAATCCTGAAACTTATGATGACATACCATCACGAAATTTATTGCACATATTGTTTTGCTTATGTATGCTGCTAAATAAGTATAAAGTACCTGAATTTATTTAAAAATATCATTACGTAGATTTCTTTCTTTCATTTAGCTGCAAAATGTCTGGTGAAGACATTTTAAAATCCATATTGGGTAGATTCTAATCTCAATCTCAACCATCGAAAGACAACTCTTGGATCTTGGATCATATCTTTACTGCTGGCTTTAGCTACTAGGAGCTCTTACCAGTATATTATCATTTTACCATAGGCCATAAAGTTAAAAATTTAAGAGGTATATTTAAAAATACACCGCACCCGAAGGCGAGATCAATAAATGAGAGAACTCATAAAATAAGTTTTGCTAAGTTGCATATCATGGCATAGCATGGGTGATTATATACGTAAATGGTGGCGAGAAGCGAGATGAAAGTCTAAGCTTCTGGGTGAGTCAAGAAGAGCAGAAACACGTGATCAGCGTCCGGCATTTAGATTGGTCGAGGAGTCAGAGTTCGAAAAATGAAGTTTTTTGCAGTTTTTGGAAATAAATAAAGTTCGAACATAGTAAAAGCAACATCTATCTGTGAATTTAAGAGTCCTATGTCTTTTGAAACACTTGAAAATCTTCTAAACTTGCGATATAATCATTAAATGAATAGGAAACTGTAAAAGGCGAAAATGAGGTCATGTAGCTCACTAGGGCTAATGAGTGAGAGTAAGCACTTGGTGTTACCACGAACTTTGATTTTAAAACACACAATATGAAATAGTAAAAATAAAAAGTAAAAGTAAAAATCTTGGTTAAATAAGTAGTAAAACGAAGAATTCATCGATGAAAAATAAATTCCTAACTTTGCAAAGTTCATCTTTCTTGAATAATAACTGCAGAGGAATAGTATTTTTTTTTTTTAACATTATATGAAAGACAACTCCTATTATAGTTATAATAGTAATGTTTTGAGGGTTATACATACAGTGGTGGCCAAAATTGTGGACACTTTTGGAAATTTTTATGTTTTTGAACTTTGTATGCTTATAGAAAATGTTAGTTTTCGCAAAATGCAAACTTGTATATATCATTTTAAAGAGAATTTATTACTGAATTCAATACAAAACACAAAATGCAATTATTTGCAATACAAAGAAATTTATATGTACTTTAATATAAATAAAAAAACACAGTTATGAAGTGCTTTGTAATGTCTAGCTTTCCTGGCCAATCAATCACTGTTCCTGTTCTAAGAACCAATCAAATGTTAGTAACTGCCAGTAGAAGCTGACATCATGTTTACACTTGAAACGATTCATTATTTTGCTTTGTTCTGTAGAAGGAGGATCTGTTTCTTATACACTGCAATTACAAGTAGGAATTTTTGTAAAAATTCTTAATATTTTAGTCAAGAAGCAATGACATCAAATAAAAGAGTAGATTGGACACCTAGAAAGAGATCTAATATTTTTATCTTACGAGAAAGTGGTCTTTCCTATGCTGTAATTGCAAGACAGGTGGGTGGTTCAGTGACTACATCTGAAGTCCAAAAGTTTTGTTTATGATATCAGAAGACATTCAATAAAAAACAAAGAAGGAAAAGGCCGAAAAAGGTGCACCACATCTGTTGATGACAGAAGAATAAAAAGACTATGTGTCTAAGATAGAAAAATGTAATCAGCAGCCATCAGAAGTGATCTGAATGATGCTGGTGTTTCTGTCAGTTCAAGAACAATCAGGAGAAGATTAACAGATGTTGGACTGAGAGGTAGAATTCCACGAAAAAAGCCTTATCTTAATTTTCAACAACGCCAAAAAAAAAAAAAAAAAAAAAAAAAAAAAAAAAAAAAAAAAAACTACAGTGGGCAAAGGAACACATTAATTGGACAGATGATCAGTGGTCACAAGTTATATGAAGTGATGAAACTAAGATATCGTTATTCGGCAGTGATGGGCGAAAATACGTAAGACATAGAATAGGAGAAGAGCTACATCCTGACTGCATTCAAGCAACTGTGAAGAACCAGTTAGTGTTATGATTTGGTCATGCATGTCAGCAGATGGGTTGGTCGCCTTTCATGTCATCGATGGGACACTGAATGCCAGAAAATACATTGACACTATTCTAGAACCAAAACTTCTACCTTCCATCAGAGATCTCTTTCCCAACAATGCTTCATTTATTTTTCAGCAGGATTCTGCTCCTTGCCACACGGCCAAAATATTGAAAGAGTGGTTTCGTACAAAGAGCATTAAATTGTTGTCATGGCCGGGAAACAGTCCTGACCTCAATCCTATCGAAAATTTGTGGCAATGTTTGAAAACTCTTGTCCGAATGAGGCACCCATCAAATAAAAGGAAACTATTTGAGGCTATAATTGTTTCCTGGCATCATGTAATAACGAAAGAAGAGCGTAAAACTCTTGTCAGCTCAATGAAACATCGATGTGAAGCTGTAATCAAAAATAAAGGGTACCCTAGTACTGATAACTTGCTGCAATCATCACTATCTAATGTATATCGATAACTATTATCGTTTAACTTTTTTGGTATTGCAAATAATTGAATTTTGTGTTTTGTATTGAATTCAGTAATAAATTCTCTTTAAAATGATATATACAAGTTTGCATTTTGTGAAACATGTTTTTTATAAGCATACAAAGTATGAGTTTTCAGTTTTATATGAATTTTAAAGTCTTTAATAAAAATATGATGATATCTTTTTATGGTTTGTGATCTCAAATGGACCAGGATAACTAAACATATTAATCAATTTTTTATGAAGCTTTAATTTATTTTCCCTTGATGAGTTCTGAATTGGAGTTTCAATGAAAGGAGATTAATTTTTATTTGTATAATTTTGTATATTTTGCCTTTGGCATTTTTGTTTTTAGAGTTTGTTCTACTGTGAATTCTTTCTTTAATTGGATTTGTTTTGATGTTGTGTTAAACATCTTATACACGGTTGCAATTATTATATTATAGGGAAATTGCCTTGATTTTATTCCAATTTAATAATAAATTTAGATGCTTTAAGTTTGTTCTACTTCAGTCCTGCAGCTATACCACAGGACAGGTTTAAATGTTTTTTAAATTCTATTTTTAGCCAGTTTTTATATTTCTTTATATATAATATATCTGCAAGTCATGTGTAATTGGCAAATATTTGTGTTTTGAAATGGTACCATAATTAATTTACCTCTTAGCACAGCCAACGGGCATTACACAGATAGACTGGAATTTTTTTTAAAATGCATCTGGGAAACCTGGAAACGTCAGGAAATTTCATTCTCTTGTTTGAGTGGAATCCCTGATTAAAGAAGTAGTTTTAATATTTTGATTAATTGTACTTTACAACAGTTTTTTTTTTTTTTTTTTCATTTGATGGAGTCATATTTGTCATAAAAGTATTCATAAAATATTTCAACATTAAAGACATTGGAAAAAATATGGTGTATCCATAGTTAAGTTTTGCCTAAACACGTGTTCTTTAAAATTTCTTTAATGCCCATTTTATTAACACATTGTATTCATAAAAATTTCTGCCATATATTCTTCTAAGAAACTGTTGTTAGAAAATTTTTTGAAGCTTTATTACATAAGGCGAATAACTCTCATTCGGCTCAAAACATTTTTGCATGGGAAAAAATATATTATACTAATGGAAAATTGCTAATATTTCAAGATTATAACATTAGCAGATATTCAACCTAACAATATGACTTTTTACATGAGACAATTTTAACCATAACTTACTGGTAGTGACTTTTTTTTTCAAACAGTGTAGACTTATTTGTAATACATATATCATATTTGTATTTAGTGCTTAGCAAAATATTGTTTTGTGGAATGTAGTAAAATCAGTTGTTTTGGAAAGATATAAGAGTAAATTTTATCTTCTTCAATATGCTTAATTGTATAAAAAGTTTTTTTCTAAAGCATGCTGTAAAATATCATTCATAATTATATTTTTAAAATAATTTTAGCTAAAGAATTGATCAAAGGCTTATTGAGAACTGATCCTGCAAAGCGATTAACTATAGAGGAAGTAATGAGTAATAAATGGATAGCTGTAAGTATGTCGTATAAATATTGTTTTACAGTAAGAATAAATAAAATGCAAAAGTAATTTAAGTTTTAAATTGTATGAAATGTCTAAAAAATAATAATTTAAACTTTGAAGTTATATTAATTGGAATTGACAGTTCAAATTAGAAATGCATGTTATGTTGCACTATGAATCTGAATGCATTAAATGCAAATATTGAAGAGAAAAAAGAATACTTTTGAAATATCTTGTCATAATCAGTTATATACACAGTAAGATCTTAGATCAAAATTTTAAGTTCATGGGATAAAGTTATGTCAGACGATTATAAAATTCATATATTCAATAAATGTGTATAATTTCAAGATATGCTGTCTGAAACTGTGTAATCATGCATTGTTAATGTCATTAACAGAATTTGAGTGAAATCATTCAATATAATTTTGAAAGAAAGTTGCTCATTTCACCAAAATACAGGGTTGTGTAATTATAATCAGTAGTGCTTTGGTTTGGCCTCAGTGGTCACAGGTCAAACAGTTTTTGTTGTAATTCCAAATTTCAGATAACTATATATTTGGAAGACGAGCATAACATCAAAGCAACAGTATCAATTTCTAATCACAACATTATGCTATGAAATCATTTTCATAAACTAATCTTAACAGTGATTCCTGACTTTGTTTGAACCATGTAACATTTAACTGAACTCTGGAACCAAAGATCTGGAGTTTTAATTATTATCACTTTGGCTGTTATAATAATCGCCATTTACTAACATGAAGTACAGTCAAAAGTCGTTAATTCGGACACCCATAATCCGGACCTCAAAGCTACAACTTTCTGCGCATGCATCGCGTTGACGCATGCGCGTAAGACCTTTATGGCTGCGAATATTCGTGTGCGCATGCTCATAATACGTTTACGCATGCACGTTTAATGTATAACGGACGGTATAAGCTAAGCTAAAATTATCTAATTCAGTTAATGTTGCAGATTGCGTTGTTCCTTAATCTTCAAATTGGATCCGGCTTATTATTTTTTGCAGACTGTTAGAGCAATTTCATAAAAGTAAGCTTGAACTTTCGATTATGTCAAATAGAATTTCCGATATATATTTACTAATATGTAATTTGTATCTATAAAGCGAAAGTATGTTTTGAAATCCGAAATCTGTTTATCAATTTCACGCCGCGGATTGGAAGTTGATCTGTCAGCACTATCCTTATCTTCAGGGCAGATGTTTTTATTTTATTTGGCTTATAATTCCTTACTAAATATAGTATTTCATCTCGATGTACTCCGTCTTTGATATGATTTAAATCAAATTCCCCGTCATTATAATTCGCTTCCAATAGTGAAGAAAGTGACACAGAGGTTATTGAAAACGAAAAAATTTCGATTGACAAATTAGTCGGTATTCTCGACACAGCAATTATAGGACTTGAACAGCGGAACTTTGTAACTGAAGAAGAAATTATGTCTGTTTATAGAATTAAAGAGAAAGTATTATCACATAAAACGAAGCAACTTAAACAACTTACATTGAAAGAAATGTTTAATAAAATAAACAAATAAGTATTAAGCTCTTTTTTTTTTTGTAAATTTTGATACCCTTTAGTTCATAATTGTTCTTTATTTCATAAATTACGGTTTCATATTTTTAATTTCATAATTTCTGCATGCCATCTTACCAGATTTAAACTGATGATCTGTAATCCGGAAAAATCGATAATCCGGAATTGCCGAAGTCCCGACGAGTCCGGATTAACGACTTTTGACTGTATTTGTTTGGAGTGTTCTACAGCGTTTCTTGACAACGGTCTTGTTGTTGACATTCAGAAAAGTAAATTGTGTTCAAGCTGTAACTCTTTTTTTTTTTTCTGCATACACATTGCTTCAAAATCTATCTATGTTTTTTATTTTTCCCCCTTGTTTAAATACTACTATTTACACTACAGAAAATGCTATCACAATTGCATAACATGTCTAACATTTCACTTTTTTTGGCTATCTTAATGGTATATCACATGTTGTTATAACCTACCTTTGTACTTATTTTTAAGCTTTGTACTTATTTACTTAATTTTTACTTTGTTTTTTTTTCCCATTGCATGCATATTACTTCAAGGTATATCTGTATTTTTCTTCTCCCCTTGTTTAGCTATTACTATTTCCATTAAAGAACATGTAGTCAAAATTATGTATCATATCTAATATTTCACTTTTGGTTGTCTTAATGACATATCTTTTGTTGTTACCATCAGATGTGCTTAATTAAGGAATTATCGATTTTGTCTGAAAAAAGATGGAAGCATTTTATTACTGAAGTTTATGTGCAGCATTTTCATTCACATTCTGAAGTTTTTTAATAGGAGGCATAAGATCACCTGCTAAACTTTGAATTTTCCCATTTGTTCTTGTTTTTAATATTTTGTATTTTATGTTTATCTTATTTTTGCTTACATTTTATATTCTTTATCTCTGTCTAAAGCCACACATCTTTTGCATTTGAAATAAAAAGTATGTGACATTTTAAAATTTTTAATTACCAACTCATTCAGGTATTGTTTTTGATTTTGAGTAAATAAGTACTATTCTAAGCATTGACAATATTATACAGCCTGATAGTATATTGTATCTTATATCTGATATATTGTATTGTTGCTTGGCAAGCATACAAAAAATTTTTATGTAAAGCATTTGTGATTGGTGTAAAATATATATTTAAATATGAAAATTTCATGACACATATTGCTTTGAAAGGAAAGTGGCTAGAATTACAAATATGGATGTTATTGGCTGCTGCTCACTCCTTCTCATTGTTATGTATGAAGTGGTACAAGAAACAGTTTTGTTGGAAGAAAAAAAATACAAATATGTGGCATTCAACTAATTAAAAACATCACTTTTGGAGTTTTTTTTACAGCTTTGGTATGCATTTGGTTGTGATGATGATATTTTTTTGCCTAAAGTATTTCTGCTATACATGCTTTACTTCATGTTGTAAGGGAACATTCAGCCTTTTTTTTTTTTTTTTTTTATTTTTTTACCGTTATATTTTTGTATGTGACACTGATTGAAACTGTGGAGGTTAGACATTTGTTAGTCATTACCTATTCCATTTCTGAGTCAGATACAAAATCTGCTTTGTTAATAGTATGTGTATGTAGTTATCACTTAACCCAAGTGTGGCTGAATGTTTAAAGTTGCAAACAGCTGGCAGAGTTCTTCCTAGTTTCTCTTCCCAACACAAACAGTTTGGTTGCATGGGGTTTTAATATTTTCCTCATATGTAATGTCAGTACAATGTCACTTTCTGTAGTATCCTTCCCCCAAACATTATTTAACCATTGGTAATATGGTTTGCCATAATTAAATAAAGCATTGTCATTTAAAATTTTCTGTAGGTAATGTTGCAACAATTGTTTTGGCCAATATGCTGTTTGGCTGTGTGTAGTAAAACATGTTTGCAATCAGATTGCTTGTCTCTTTTACATGCATCGGTTGTCAATAATTCTCACTGAAATGCATATCCAGTTTGAAAATGCATGGCATGATATTCTTCCAGCATGGCAGTCAGAATAATATGACTGGATGTCATACTGGAATCTTGCATAATGCCATGAAGATAGTCCATTTTTTTCAATCAGAGTGAATTTTCTGGTATCCTTAGATTTCCTTGAAACATAAATTAACTTTTATTATTAAAAGTAGGGTGAGGGTGAGGGTGAGTATTTTATATTTGAGATAATTGCCTGTGTTATATATATTTGTACTAAATTGTACCTTTTAGCGTTTTTTAATACTCTGAAAATTTGATGTGTTTAACATTTTTAGACTGTATAAGAACTTTTCCTTTTTGTGCATAGGTGAATCCAGAGGTCCATAGGGAAATTCAGGGGACATTATGCCTGCCATAATTTTATGTACATGCAAAATAGCATACCATGACAGAAGAATCTTACATTATTTAGAAATAAGATATTAAAATTTGAATTTTTAAGACAATTTTATAACTGGTATGAGGGCAAGTTACGCAAAAAGATAAAATATGCCATGACTGAAATAAACATATTTGTCATCATGTCATCTAAGAAGACTAGTGGATAACTTTCTCCTAGATCCCCCAAGAAACAAGACCATCTAGCTTCACTTGCTCTTTACGAATGGCATAGGTTTCTTCACATTTGTCATGGCAACATCATGAGATAGCTGGATGACCTTGTTTCTCAAAGATCATGCTTTCTCCAAGTTCTTGACTTGAAAGTTTTGAAATATTTATTTTGTTGTTTTACTTCAAAGTTGTCCAAATAGAGCTATTTATCATATTGCAGGTTTTTTAGTTTTCACTTTGAATTTGATTGCAAGTTAGTATTTAGTTTATTTTTAGGCTAAAAATTTTGTAAATATAAATGATAAATGAAATAAACAAACACAATAAAAACATGACTTTGTGTTTCCCTTGGATTTTTTCTGGATTTCCCAGCTACTCTTTGTGCCAGTGTGATCAATGAACACAGATATTTTTTTTAAATTTAGTAAATTTAATTGATGTAACCTTTAAAATTTAATTCATGCAGTTTCACTATGTGAAATATTGAGCAAATAAGTTACAATATAATTTTTTTTTACTTACAAAATAATATAACCCCAATTTGATGTAAAATATTTTTTCTCTCTCTCTAACTCTGCGTGATTTATTTTTTTTTTTTTGTGTGTGTGTGTTCGTGTGTATTAAAAAATAAATCACATTATGAAAAATTTGCAGCGTTTTGCAGAAGTGCCACAGACACCTCTTCATTCAATTAGGGTACTTCGAGAAGAAGAATATGCTTGGCCAGATGTCCAAGTAAATATATTTTTCTATACTTTTCATTATTATTAAATATTTGAGTTCTAAAAAGAAACAATCTGTAGCATACTGTTTTTAAACTAAGTTGCATATAACCTAAAATATTATTTCAATATCCAATATTTAAAATCCTCATTTTAAAGAGTGATTTTGAAAGATCTTTGTATAAATTTTTCCATTTTCTCTATATATGTAAAATTAATTTTATCATCATAACTATATGCAATTCTAATTAAAATTCTTATGTATAAAAATTTCCTTGATATTGTTCAATATATGGTATTGGTGGAGGTACCAAGAAAATTTCGGCAGTGTGTATCGGTTATTGTGCAGTAACTATGAAAGCAGTCTGGTTGTCACCCCTGCAAATTTTGGTAAAGACTGCCTAGCTAGTGCCTTCAGTACAGCTTTAAATTTGAAGGGGGTGATGGCATTGAGTAAAAGAATGTTCTTCTGTTATGCTAGGTTTAAAAGTACAGAATTTAAAAGCACCAAAAGTTAATTAGAATTGTAATAATAAACATTGGTAATTATAATAGTAAAAGTAGTAATGGTAGTAATAAACAACATATATGTAAGAATTCATTCTGTCTTTTTCAGAATGGTTTGTTTTCATATTACATGCAGGCAAAGCATCAATAAAACTTAACATAAGTAAAAAGTTACAAGCAAGAATTTTTTTATTGTTTTAGTAGTCATTTAAATATTTATTCAGATGATTCTAATACAATGAATGTGTATTTAGAAGTCACATTATGAAGTTTTGCTGTTGATTTACCATACTGTTTAATGCTTAACTCTTTGAGAAGAAGTGTTTCCCAAGCGTTTTTACCTGGGTAATTGCCTTTGGAAATTACCATTCTATAAGCTGTATTAAAATACTGAAATGAGATGCAGATTAAATGAATGCAAATTAAGATACAATATTAAAATGATATACACTGTGTGGCCTTATATTTGGTTTCAAAAGATACCAGATTAAAGGCACTTATTTGAGTGGCTTTTAAAATTTTGTTTGATAAAAGCTTTTGTTTGTCTTGGTATTTATTGCTGTCTTAAAATTTGAATTTGTATAAATTAAAATTATTATTTAGCATCTCTTGTATGAGGTTTCATCTTTGGATTTAAAAGCTTCATTTCAGGTTAGCATATTTTGTTATTTGTTTATGATTAAAACCAGCAATTTTATCAATAAGTTAATTTTTTTAAATGCTTCCTTCTTGCACAACCAACTTCATAAAACATAATTATAAAAAAGAAAAGTATATATAATGTCTTAATGAATCTAATTAACCACTTAACAGTTTTGCCTATGCACCGTTTGGATGCCACAGGCTTCCTGGATTTGCCCATGCACCACTCGAGCATTTTCGTACACCAATCCTGATTTGCCTGGCTTTCCCTCCTTTTTTTGCAGTGTTTCTAATAAATGTCTCCGGTGATTTTGCCTGGCTTTTTCACTCTCTCTCCCTCTTTCTTTCTTTCTTTTTTTTTTTTTTTTTGGAAGCGTTTCTAACAAATGTCTCTAGTAGTAAGTAGTCCAGGAGAGACTGGATTGTAAAACCTGTTCAAGGACATGTTTTCATTTAGGCGGGGAAATTGAGCAAGTTTGTTTGCACGTGTTTTCATGTATTACACTTTGCGAATAGCATTTCTTTCCAATTTTATGTATAAAATAAAAGAAGGAATGGGTGACGGTGAGTGGCTTATAACAGAATTCAATTCTGATATTGAATCAGATAGCAAATCAAAAATTTCTCTATATGATTCTGGGAGTTGTCAAATTTTGTTATCAGAATTTATAGTGATGGTGTAACGAAAAGTTGAGATGATCTAACTCAGGTTTGGAACTTTTGAGAAATGGATACAAGTAATCCTCCTTCACCATCGCCATGATTTTCTTTTACGGATCCTCCTATTCATTTGGTTAATGATGTAAGCGATGAAACTCTAGTTTCTCGATATTGTTTTCTATGATAACCTCCGTGAAATGATAGTTTCTGGAACTAATAAATATGTGAATAAATGTGTATCCCTAGGATGAGGTTTTAGTCTTTGGATTTAAAAGCTTCATTTCAGGTTAGTAAAATCATATTTCATTATTTGTTTTTAAAACAGATGTTTAATATGAAACAATACAAAAAGTTCAGATGATCTAACTCAGGTTCGGATCTTTTGAGAAAGGGATACTAGTGATCCTCCTCCACCATCAGAGTGATTTCCTTTCACATTGAATCCCCCTATTTATTTGGATGTTGTGAGAAATGAATATTAGTGATCCTCCTCCATTATTAAAGTGATTTCCTTTCACATTGAATCCCACTACAGTCAAAAGTCTTTAATCCAGATGCCCATAATCCGGAATGATCTATAATCTGGACCTCAAAGCTACAAACTTTCTACGTATGCGTCAACGCATAATGCGTTAACGCATGTGCATAATACCTTTACGCATGTGCTTATGCGCCTATGCATGCGCATAATACGTTTACGCATGCGCGTTTCATTTATAGTGGACAGTATAAGCTAAACTTAAATTATCTATTTCAGTTAATGTTGCAGATTGCATTGTTCCTTAATCTTCTAATTGGATCCAGCTTATTATTTTTTGCAGACTGTTAGAGCAATTTTATAAAAGTAAGCTTGAACTTTTGATTATATCAAAGTGAATTTCCGATTCTGGAGCTACCAAAGGATCTACAAAGCGAAAGCATGTTCCAATGTCCTTCAAACAAAAAGTTGAATTGCTGCAAAAAATGGATAAAGGCATATCCTTTGAATCTCTAATCATTCCGAAATATGTTTATCAATTTCATGCTGCTCTGCGGGAGCGATGCGGCGCACAATGAACTGGAAGTTGATCTGTCAGCACTATCCTTATCTTCTGGATAGATGTGTTATTTTATTTGGCTTATAATTCCTTACTAAATGTAGTATTTCATCTCGATGTACTCCGTCTTTGATATGATTTAAATCAGATTCCTCACCATTATAAATATCAGGAGTACATATCAAATAGTTTTCTGGTTGCAATTTTCTAATTTCCACTATGTGTAATGTATGCTTTACGCATGCGCGCGTTGAAAGAAAGGTTTAATAAAGTAAACAAATAAATATAAAGCTTTTTTTTTCTTTTTGTAAATTTTGATACCCTTTAGATCATAATTGCTCTTTATTTCATAAATTATGGTTTCATATTTTTTATTTTATAATTTCTGCAAGCTATTGTACCAGATTTAAACTGATGATCTATAATCCGGAATCGCTGAAGTCCCGACGAGTCCGGATTAAAGACTTTTGACTGTATTCATTTGGATGTTGATGTAAGTGATGGAACTCTACTGTTTCTCGATATGTTTTTTATAATAACGTCCTTGAAATGATAGTTTCTGAAGCTAATCAATATGTAGATAAAAGCATTTGAGATAAAGTATTTGAACAGAGGGAAATATTACAAAAATATATTCTTTATCTTTTTGATATATCACTGTGAAATACTTATGTTTTGTATCAAAAACATGGAGGAAAATACTCCCATTCGGATTTTAGACTTGACTTAGTTGATTGCTTGATTGAAAGGCATAGAACAGTGAATGAGAATTAAAGATAGCCAGGAATTTTGTCGAATCTTAAATATAATTGTTTAGTTTGTTGATCAATAAGATAATAAATATGAAAGAAAAATACCTTACATTTCGTTGATTGGCAACACACATTGCTGCCTGCATGCAGTATCAAAATAATTTAATTTGGGCAATGGCAACAATTTTTGTAAAAAAAATCCCTCAGTTTGTTGATTAAATATGAAAGACAAATATGTTGCATTTAGTCAAGTGGCAACATGCTTCTTTTAAATTGCTGAGTTTTTTTTATCAAATTTGGAACATAAATAAATATCTTGGAGTTTGCCGAATGTTAACACAAAGCTTTTATGTCATGAGTTTTTAGCCAAAAGTTCCTCAGATTTGCACAAAATTTGAAATAAGTAAATAAATAATAATTTAAAAAAATCAAAATGCAAGTTCTGAAGGTTGTACATGTTCGGATGGGGGACTGCGTGTCTTCAAAATTTCTGCAATTTGGTGGCTCTAGGTGCTGCTCTTTTTCCACCATGTGATTAAATTCAAACAGACAAATTTATTATCATCCTTCTTTTATATCATCATGTTTTGTGATTAAATTTGAAACATAAATAGCTTTGCAAAGTGGCACCACAAAGCTGAAATTTTAATCAAAAGTTCATTAAATTTGGGGTCAGGAGGAATTCAAAATTTTTTTCGAGGTGCCTATGTTCGGGTGGATGACTATATGTGTTTAAAATTTGGAGGCTGTAGAAGCCACTATTTTCTACAGTGTGAGGAGCATACATACAGATTCTGCATTTTTAATAACAGAGATTGAAATAATGAGTTAAAAGTGTTTGCATAATCAAGCTATTGAAAAATATTTTAGAACATGATGAGTCATAGTAAGAACTTTTCTTTCAGAAATTGCTATTTTATTTTTTATTATTACATGTATAGTTTGGACAAAATAGTGAACTTGAGAAAAATTTTATAAATTAAATATGTTAGACTCTGTTTAAAATTAAACAGTGAAACCTTTCATGGCGACCACCTTTGAAAGTGGCCAGTGTTTCTGAGAGCATAATAAATGAAACTGAGCATCACCAGTGTTCTCTAAAGTAATATTGCTAATGAAGATCAAAATTGTTTGAAACTATATGTAGCCATCTTAAGAAGATTTCAGTGCATACACATATATATATATGCTTATATCTAATATATATGTATGTATATATATCTTGAATTTTAGGAGGAAATGACAAGATCTCTAGCTACCATGAGGGTGGATTATGACACTGTTCACCTTAAGAACCTAGATAAAACAAATAATTCTCTACTTAGCAAAAGGCGACAGCATCCAAAATAAAGAACTGACTTAAATTTGTGCCATACACTTAACTGAATTTCATTATAGAATTCTTATAATGCATCTGTGCTTGGTATTGTAGAGTGTATCTGCTTAAGCAGTCTGTATTTGCTGCTTCAAATTTTGCACTTTTTTTTTTTTTTTTTTTTTTTTTTTTTGCGTGTATGTTGATTAGCTAATGTATTTTTTCTAACAATTCTATTACTGTTATAGATAGAGCATATAAATTTTCATGTTTTCTTTTTGAGTGTCCAATTTAATCAGACATACTATATAAAAAATTATTGCAAAAATTATAAATTTCTTTTTATGGGATTTTAAGAATTAGCAATATTTTTAACAAAGCATTTATTCTTTATAATATGTTCAATTTTATATTAATTTATTTATTTGTATATATTCTTAATTTATGATAAATGTTTTCATGGAAATTATATTTTCAAAATTATTAATAATAAAAAAATTTTAGAATTTTTTTAATAACTTATAGCACTTGTTTTTATCTTTTGCATAATGATATTTATTGAAAGTGAGCTAATTTATCTTAAAAGTACGTTTAGATACTAAGAAATCTAGTGCCATTTTGTTATTTATATCATAGACTTCATGCATGTATGCATATGCTTTATACACATATCCATGCATATGTTAACATCTGTAAAAATGTAGGTACTTTTTTGTCATGTAGCTGCCATGCATGGTGTGTATCCATAATGGAAAAGTACCGTGGTGTGTTTGACACACACATAAACATAGGTCAAAAGGTATGGCAGGTTCACGATGGAAAAGTGCCTGAAATATTTAAGGAAATTGTTAAGACATTTTATTTGATCCACTGATATTTTTTTTAATTATCAGATATTTTTATTTAAATAACAGTTATGTGCAAATAACAGAAAATTGTATTTTCAAATATTTGATATAATGCATTTTTAACTAAAATGAATGTATATGGATTATTTTATTTTTGGTTAAAGTAATTCTTAAAATTATTTCAGAGTAGGTTTTGATTGATTTAAAAACTGTGTGGTCAAACTCTTTAATATGTCATGGTTGGGATTGATTAAATGTGGTGTAAGTGGAGTGACTTGAAAGCAGAGTAAAAAAGATTTAAAATGTAATCTGTATGCGGAAAAATATTTTAGTTACATACTTCTGATTTTTACCTTATTTTAAAACGTCAGTTGATTTGAATTTTATTGCTTGAACTGCTTTTTGAAGGTTTCTGAGTATTGTACCTTACTCATTTTTGTTTAAAGCTTTGAATTAATAATGTTCTCAATTCAATGAAATTCTATGTGTACATTTTCTTCTCTCTCTTTTTTTTGGGGGGTGAGGCTTGGATTGAAGATTTGATCTAGAGTTACAAAAAGTTCTTTTGTGCTACACATCTTTGCAAAAACATATTTTTTTGCAAGCTGTTTTTATACTGTCTTGTCTTTGCAAGAATATATTTTAATGGAACTAATGAAAACAGTGCCTGTTATAAAAGATACACGAATGATATTTTTTTCATATACATTAATTACTTCTGCTTTCTATGTTTATGGCCATCTTGGTATGTTTTTCATAAACAGGTTTTAAGAATATTTTTGATGTTTAATAGAAGGAACAATCTACTGTCAAACTTCAACTTAGATTACACTCATGAAACTCTCAAGAAAAAGGGGGTGCACTTGTCTCCATCTTCAAGGGTTTGGGATCTAAGAACTGTCAGTTAATGTAGTAGTGCTTAGTATTGTTAGTCTTAATGTTTTTAATAAAGGTTAAGAAAAAAATTTAAAATAGTTTCTGTATTAACCACCGCAGCCTGTAACATAGCATATAACAAAATTTAACACAACTCTTATTGTGTACTCACCACCTTTTACTAATTAATAATATTTTACCTCCGTCCTGTATTGTATTTATTTCATCAAAATTTGCCTTTTTGTTGTCTGACACTTTTTTGCGTGAGTCAGAAGGTCAAAAGAATATTTTTCTAGTTCATTATTTCACTGAAATATTTAGTAGAAGAACGAAAATTTGCACAGATTCTTGGGTATCAACTATGAAATTTGCAGTGAATAAGACTGCAAAAATTTCAAATTATAATTCAAAAGCATGCAACAAATAACATCATAGAGTAGGAAGCATTAGTTTTGGAAGATATTTTCTGCTGATTGTTGGTAATAAAGAAGAGGGCAATAACACTAAATGAACAGACTGAGTTAAAATGAACAGACTGAGATTCTGCATTAAGTATTAAAAATACATATATTTAATACAAATATATTTAAAATAGTTGGGGATACACAAATAGCTTAGCTGATTGTTAGCAACATTTGGACTTCACGGGTGAGAAGTTTCCTTGTCAGTTTTCATGGAAGCTATTTGACTTCCATTAAGACCAATAATAAAAATAATTTTGTTGTTTCAGAATAGTGAGTTTTTAATAAATGTATGACTTTTCTATGAGTAATAATGAAAAAAAAAATTTAGAACAACAAAATTGTGTAACCAATTAGCATGTAAAAACTCCATAATTTTTTTAAAGGGGCGGGATTCAAGTTAGAATATCCTAAAATGTAGTTGCTGTAAAACAAATATTTTAAAAAATTGAGAGGGAGGAGAACCCAAATTTTTACTATACCTATTTTTTCAGTCATCTTGCTTCTTAAGTAATTCAAAGTTATAGGACTACGCTCAGATAGTTTTCTTGTTTCACAGTTTTGATGATAATTGTAACAGCTCTGCAAATACTTGGACAACCTTCACCACTCTCCAATTTGAAACTGTGTGTGTAGTTTTTTTTTTTACTAGACTCATTTGTGTTTATTCATTTTTTCAGTATTAATTATGTAATTGTTGTAGACTGTGTATTCATTTAACTAATAAACACAAGGATTACAAACTGAAACAAGCTACTCCATCTGAGGAATCTGTGATAGATAGGCAAACAAAGAAAATAAAAGGATGCAAAGTAATTCTTAGCTATGGCATGAAATTTTAAACACTGTAATGTTTGAAGGTCATGTTTCAAAAAAACCAGGTTCGTTAGTGCCATAACTGCCAAAAATGGCATAATTTGTCAGAGAATTGCTTTTTTGAACCTCGATGTGTTAAATGTGTGGAAAAACAAAGAAGTGTTGACTGCCCAATTAAAGGTAGAACTGAGGAACTCAAGTGGGTGAACTGGCTTGGAAATCACCATTCATCATATTGTGGTTGCATATAAGTTTCCTAAATATAAGCAACCTCATAGTAGGAAATAACAGTTAAAACCTGGACTCAGTTTTGCACAGGCACTTACTACTGGAAACAAGCCTAATAGTGCAGTTAGAGAGGACAGAAATCTGAAAAACGCCCCAGTTGCTGAATTTCCTAATAATGCATTTAAATTTGAAAGTAATGATAGATATCATAACCTAGATAATTCAAATACCTTGAGCACCAACAGCTCTGATACGCTTAAATTTTTAAAGTGCATGAAGGAAATACATAGCATATTTGGCCAGGGTAATATCACCAAAATGATAAAAACTTTTAAGAAACATATACCTAAATTGAAATCTCACACAGATAGCATAGATAAACTTTATATGTACTTTGAGATGCTCTCTGAAATTAGCGAACAATGTGAATACCACCCACTGCAGAATCCTTATGTTAAATAATTAATTTATTTTATTAATTACTAGTTGCCTCAGCTTTCAATTCTCACTTGTCAAATTCTTAAGAATATTTAGTTTAAATACTTCAAAGATTTTTTTGTTAAACTTAATATTCTGATCTAGAATTTCTGCTTGATTTCTATGTTAAGTTAACCTCTGCCCCTATTTCAGTTCTACCAATCTCAAAATTTGCATGGCTCTGAAAATCCTCCCCCCCCCTAAATTGCCTGCCAATAGTTTTACTGCACTGTGCCTTCTATCTCTTCCAATGGTTTTAGCTCCTCAAGTCAGCTGACCTCATTTCTCTAAAAAAATCAATACAGATACAAAAGAAAGGGAAAATAGGGAAGAGAGTTTTTAAAGAAATACAATTTAAAATAAATTGAATTGAAAATGCAGATAAAAATTCGATTTAATTATTAATGCATAATTTATTAAATAATTTACTTGCAGATGTGCATAAAACTTAATAAATAAATAAAAGTATTGCATTAATAGCCTCTAAAATTAATTACAATACATGAAGCTTTAAGCTTAATAATATGTAGTATATCATCACTATAATTAGGATATTCAAGATACCAAAAAAGTAAGCCTGAATTATTCTTTCAATATTATTTCAGTATGATCTAAATCAGTAATTCTCAACCTTCTCAAAGCTGCCATGCCCTAAAGAGCAAAAAAAGTTCAATGCCCCCCCCCCCCTTTGTGAAAATCCTGCAATTTAGGTATGGAAAAAAAAGGGTTTCGCCTAAAAGGCAAAAATTCTAAGTAATTTTTTTCATTAGACTTACGCACCAAATTTTATGATTTAACGTGATAGTTTTGCCTGGAAGGAAATTTCATTCCTTCTGTTAAAAGTGAAAGGACTAATGCCAGAAAAAATTGCTTAAGTGATGTTTTATGTTTAAAAATTCTTTATTCTTAATTATATAATTAAAAAAGGAAGAAAAAAACACTAAAAGAGTAATATCAATGAAACAATCAAGTATGATCAGTGAGATGGGTGTGCTTAATGGTTCAGAGCCAGTTTCTGAATGTTTGGTTCAATATTTTTATAGAGATGAAAGTGCAAGTCCCTGCTTTTCACAATTTGGAGTCGACTTCTCTTTTTTGTATCAACTCTTTGCACACGGTATGAGCTTTCCCTGATTTAAAAATTAATTTTGATACATTATAAGAGGCTATCAAACCATCGTTACATTTTTTTTGATGAGGTTGCTAGTAACCCTGAGACAGAGGGTCGAGAAAAACAACAAATCTTTATTTTGTTTGTCAGGATGAATTTTTTACAGATTCGTCTCATGATTCTTAGAATTCCATGATCACAGTCTTCACAAAAGTTTGTTTTATTGCTGGTGCAAATGGTGTAAATCGGATAATCAATGTAATAAATTTTTGGGGAAGTTTTAAAATTAAGTTTGTCTAAATAATTTTGATTGGCATCTTCTGTAGCAATATATGCTTAAAATTTGTATTTCTTGATATCTTAAGGATATCCTAACTTAACACGTTGAGCGCCACGCATATTTTTTAGGCAATCCCGTTCAGGCCACGTGCACGCTTAAAAGTGCTGGTATTGTAGGGCCAGTGATTCTTATTGCAGTAGAAGATAGTTTACATTTAGAACGTGATTCCTAAAGGCATTCATTCAAGACGTTATGTTTTTATGTTTACCGTGTTTCAATGAAATCCATTAGTGTAATGAATCAAAATTAAGTAAATTTTAAATAAATTTTCTGTAATTCCATAAAACAGTGTAACTTTTATAGTTATATATCATGTTACACGCTGTCAGCCAGCAGCGGTCGACGCGGCCTAAACGGAAAGTCTAGTGTCAGCTGCAGATGGCTGATGTGGTGCTCAACGTGTTAGGCAGGTTTTATTTTATCCATAAGTAATTTGTAATGAGGAAACTTAAGCAGGTTTTATGTCTCAATAGGTAATGAGAAAAGTAAATATTTATAGGTTAAAATTATTGAAAGTATTGTTTTGAGTGGAGAAAAAGCAAAAATTTAAGTGTAACTGTTGAAGTTACATGTGAACGTGGTTTATGGTTGTACTTTTATTTAAAGAATTCAATATTTATTTGTATTTTTTATTTTTTTAAAACATACATTTCTTTATTTCAGTCTGATTTATAAATTGCCATAGGTCTGAAAAATGATGGTTCCTATAATCTTTTTTTGCAGTAAAGTATAAATTTAAAAATAAATTTAGATGCTGTGTAAAATTTTACATCCAAATGCAATATATTTAAAATTTTAAAAACTGTAATTTCTTAAAATACTAATCATGACATAATTTATAATTAATGAGACTATATCAAGTAATTCTTGTTGTAAGTATGCATTGCCTTATACTGTACAAAGTCTGAAATCCGGACGCCCATTATCCGGAATGATCTAAAATCCAGACTTCAAAGCTACCAACAATTTTTTTTTTTTTTTAAATGCTTTACGCATGCACATTTGATTTTTCCTTCCATAATAAAACGTGTGGAGATTTTCATTTAAATATTCCGATTCTTAATTTTACTTAGGCGCTAAATAAAATACCTCGCTATGGAAAACAATCATGTAAGCATAAATTTGTGAGATTAATAATTTGGCTCCATAGCTGAGTGTCTGCTTGGTCTACATCTCAAACCATCCCAGATGCTTAACTGGCAAGTCATTATTTATTATATTTTGCTTTCATCGCCACATGTTTATCAATACATGACAAATTCAGTAATAACTTACGCAGTGATGTATAGACTTTTTTAATATTAGTACTGTAGTTGACGGCATATAAGACGTGTTGGCATATAAGATGCACCCTTATTTAGACGGCCACACACAAGGAAAAAACGTTTCAATAGCGTGGTTTCTTTTAGTTCTCACGTTTCGTAAAAGCCAAATAAACAATTATTGAATGCAGTTACCTTCACGTATAAGACTGTGTCCTTCACGTATAAGACGCAGGTAACTTTTTTGAGACCAAATTTAGGAAAAAAAGTGCGTCTTATATGCCGTCAAATACGGTAATTGAATAACAAGACGTCGCGGCGCGCAATGAACTGGAAGTTGATTTGTCAACACTATTGTTATCTTCAGAGCAGATGTTTTTATTTTATTCGGCTTATAATTCCTTACTAAATGTAGTATTTAATTTCGATGTACTCCGTCTTTGATATTATTTAAATCAAATTTAAATCAAATTCCTCGTCATTATAAATACCACCACGAATACAAATCAAATAGTTTTCTGGTTGAAATTTTCTAATTTCGGCTATGCGTAAGGTATGCTTTACGCATCCGCGCGTTGAAAGAAATGTTTAATAAAGTAAACAAATAAATATTAGGCTTCTTTTTTGGTAAATTTTGATACCCTTTAGATCATAATTGCTCATTATTTTATAAATTACAGTTTCCTATTTTTAATTTTATAATTTCTGCATGCCATCTTACCAGATTTAAACTGATGATCTATAATCCGGAAAAATCGATAATCCAGAATCGCCGAAATCCCGACGAGTCCGGATTAAAGACTTTTGACTGTATTAGCCGCGAATTTGAAGGTTTTCGGATATCCCAAACTAAAGCTGAAATTTTCCAGTTAATGGATTTTGTAAAGAAATGTGTAGAAGCAATAATAAATGGAGATGATATAACAGAAGTTTTTCATTACGATGACAATGCCCCAATCATCAATCAATATAACGGACGGCAAAATCTGTAGTATGGTTCTAGATCCAGAAATTACCGCTACTGATAGTGAAGAAAGTGACAGAGAGGTTATTGAAAACAAAAAAATTTCGATTGGCAAGTTAGTCGGTATTTTCATCACAGCAATTACAGGACTTTAACGGTGGAACTTTCTAACTGAATAATAAGTTATGTGTGTTTATAGAATTAAAGCAAAAGTATTAGCACAAAAAACGAAACAACTTACATTCAAAGAAATGTTTAATAAAGTAAGCAAATAAGTATTAAGTTTTTTTTTGTAAATTTTGATAACCTTTAGATCATAATTGCTCTTTATTTCATAAATTACGATTTCATATTTTTAATTGTATATTTTTTGCATGCCATCTTACCAGATTTAAATTGATCATCTAATATCCTGAAAAATCTCAAATCCGGAATTGCCGAAGTCAAAAAGTCCGGATTTCGGACTTTGTACTGTATATTTTATTAACAAATAAGTTATCTAGGAATTACGTTTATTATAAAATGTAATTGTGCCTTTACATAAATGCAGCATTTCTTATGCCAGTATTTTAAAATTGAGTTATGGTATATATGTGTAATTCTGCTTAGATCTGCAAATATGGGTGTTAATGTATGTTTTTAAAAAAATCTGCTGAAAATTATATGCTCTATCATATCTTTTAAATGTTATTGAGTCTTACATTTTCATCATGTAACATTTTATTAGACTGTTATATCCTCAATATATTCACATTTTTAGATAATATTAACGTGTTATATTTTCTTGAGTTCCTTATAAAATTGCATTCCAATCTTAAACAGTGCAAACAAGTAATTTGCAACTTGCCTATGTTTGTACATATCTGTGTTTTGGAAGAATTAAAAAAAGTGTTAGAATCTAGGAAGAAAATTGTGCAGTTTTAATATATTTAAATACCTTTTTATTACATTCGCTGCCAAAGCTGATGGGGTATATTTGTTCTTATGCCCCAAGAACATATTTGTCTTTTTATGCTTTTAAATTATTTTCTGTTGTATTATTTAAATATAGTTACAACAGATTACTTTTAGCAAAAATTAGTTTGACGATGTATACTCGTAATTTTTGTATGAAATAATATTTCTGCTAGCCATACCAGTTACGAAATAACTCTGAACTAAACAACATTTACCCATTGAATGGGTAAATGGCATTCTATGCATTCACACAAAACTTCTGCACATGTGATGCATGATTTTCTGTTAGTCTCACACACGAGCCTCTGAACAGTAATTTGAGAAGTATGTTTATAATACATTTAGTCTCTTCCTGTATGCCAGACACCTAAATGTTGCATGCATTTGTTGTATTCCGTGATTGTCTAATGAAGTTCTTTTGTAGCTGGCAAGTAGAACCATATGCTAAATAAGAGTATTCTCATATATAGTTGTGAATGTGTTAACAGTCTAAAATTTTAAAGGAAAAAATATCCAGAAAAGTGCAAAACTGTAGTCAAGATTTTTTCTGTTACTGGCAAATTACCAAATTAGATTAATATATTTGAAGAAAAAACCTGATTTAATTAGGGTTTGTATTAAGTTTGAACAAGCAGCGAGTCAATTTTCTGTTTATAAATTTACTTAATTTATTCCCTTGTATCAGGTATGATCTCCTATAAGTGCTTAAATATTAATTTCAATTATATTCAGTGTAATGAAAAACAGCTATTCATTTTATTAATCACTTCACATTATGCTAAATGAAGCATGAAAGTGAATCTATTTTAGAAGCAAAATGTTTTTCTTACAGTATTAGAAGCTAAAATAATTTGTTTGCAAGTCTGTGTAAAACTTTTATAAATAAATAAAAAAATATTGCATTAATAGTCCTCTAAAATTAATTACAAAATATAGAATAATTTACATGAAGCCTTAAACTTAATAATATATAGTATATCATCACCATAATTAAGGTATTCAAGATACCGAAAAGCTCCCAGGCTGAATTACTATTTGAAAGTACTTCAGTACTATTTGAAAATGATCTAAATAATTTCGACAGGCATCTTCTTTAGCAATATATGTTTAAAATTTGTATTTCTTGGTATCTTGAAGGAAACCTAACTTAAGTAGGTTTTATATCTATCAATAGGTAATTTGATTTTTAATCAAGTATGTCAGAGTAGGTATTTTCCACTTGATTTCATTGATACTTTTTGAATGACTTAACAGATTCATTTCATTGCTTGAAGACAAACTCTGTTATCCTAAAACAATACTGGCAAGGATATATGTTTAAGATAATTTTAAATTATGTTTTCTTGTTTCTAAATCTGTGTTCTTTATCGAAGCATGTGTAATAAAGGACATTTCATTGGTCTTTTATCTTCATGAATTCTGACATAAGATGTGTTTCATAGGATAACACAACTAATGAGGAAGTGTCAATCTGCTATTAAGGACTTTAGTTTGATTTTATCAATATA